CAGAGAAACAAAAAATTTGAAAAAAATCTGGATTTGTTCTATTTGTCTTCTTACATCCCCCTGACTCGATTTTTAGCATTTTTTTTCTATGTACAGACATTCGACCTCTATAGTTTTATTATAGTATAAATATATACACCAATGACTGGAGTACAAACATTAGTGCTCATCACACAAATGAATGCCCCCAGCGGGACTCGAACCTGCGACCGCTGGCGCAGTAAGTAGGGTCACTTACAAACTGAGCCAAACGTGTCGTCAATAAGTTTTATAATTGAATATGGTATATTATTTATTTAATTTTGGCTGTTATTATTTATGTAACATGCATCACATTGTTAAATTTCAAGGGATTATTACCTCATTCTTCACAGCTTCGAAAACTTGAACATTTATCCCCGCTTAAATCCCTAATCTTGAGATCATATTATTTAATGTGTGCTTTGATGGCAAAATAAATATATGATGCAAAAATTTATAGCATTTCAGACTGTTTCAGAATAGAAAGTGCTATTAACATCTGCAAAGTAAGTTAAAAAATATAATAATAAAATGTAAAAACTCTTTATTTAACTATTATAACTCACACACAAAAAGAAGATAAAAACGATACAATAACAGGAGAATCTACAAGAGACTAAACGCTAAAAAGTCGTCATTTATCGTAGCTCCTCAATTTGAGGACACTCCTCTGTCTGCCACAGCCAGTATCGAAATATTTGGCATCAACATCTCGAGCAACATCCAGTTCCGTGGTCAATTGGAAGGTAAGGCCAAACTGGCCTCAAAGAAGCTTGGTGTGCTCAGCAAGGCGAGACAGTACTTCACGTCGCGTCAGCGTCTTATTCTTTATAAGGCGCAAATTCGGCCCCACATGGAGTACAGTTCTCATCTTTGGACGGGAGCTCCCCAGTACCAGCTACTTCCATTTGACCGCATTCAACGTAGATTGATTGCATTATGTGCATGGAATTGTGATGGATCCTGAAAATTTAAAAAATAATTCAATACTGAATGATTTCTCTTTAGATACAATGCATAGAATGGTTTTGTTTTAGCATACTTTTCAATTAAGAAAAACTGAAGTAGATAAAATAGGTTATATTATTCAATGAATAATTTGAGTTATTTTGATGACACATTTGACTCAATTTGTAGTGACCCTACTTGGTGTGCCACTGTAACGGGTTCGAGACCCGCTGGGTGCATTAATTTGTGTGATAAGCATGAATATTTGTACTCCAGTCATGGGTGTTTATATTTATAATATGTTTGTATTTAAAGTTATATATGTGTAGTGTATCAACTATTTGGTATCATGGGAACATGGAACTAGATGGTGATGTGTGTTAATGTCCCAACTCCCAACATATTTATTTATTTTCATTGTTAGTTTACATACCAGTTACGGGCTGCATTTGTTTTTTCACAATTTTACAGTAGATGTGGTCACAAACACAATGCTTCCTTGTTCTACCATAATAATGATCCAATTTCACTTTTGTAGTTCCTGAAATAGATTTAATCATATTTTAGTAAGTTAAAAAAAGGAAGAGCATGTATAGCAGAATGGTATGACTATTAGACTTCAAAGTTAAGAGGTCTCCAGACTTCAAATCCACAGCATGCACCACTGACTTTTCAGAGTTAAGTTAGTATTGTTAACCACTATCCCATGCTAACAAAGATGAAGGAAAACATGGTAAGGAAACCTGCACATCTCAAAAGTTCATGTGAATCTCCTTGAAGGTGTGTGAAGCCTGCCAACCCGCACTGGGCTGTGTGATAGACTATAGCCTAACACTACATAAAGAGGGTGACCTGGCCCAGCAGTGAGACATTAACGGGCTAGTATTGTATTATTTGGACCAAAGAAATAGAGGAATGGACTAAATTATCTAATTCTATACATATAATAAAATTCTAACTGAGTTGAATCTGTACATTAAATATTGTTTGGAAAATCTTATTGAAATAGACATTATTATCGATACAGAGGCCGAATCTATAGTTTTTAGAATTTTTGTCTGTCTGTTACCGCATCACAGAAAAACTACTGGACGGATTTTGATAAAATTTCGTATGGTCATAGCTGGGTCAACATATAGGATACTTTTTACAGCGGAAAAATATCTCATTTCTGAGAACAAATACAAAAACCGTAATGTAAGAGTATACTAATATGTAAAACCTAAGAATTTGGTTTTTGGTCATCTGAACGCAGGCGGAGCCGCGGGCAATGCTAGTATGTTTATAAAATTGAAGTTAAATCGTTCTCTTAAAGATCTTACTACTTACTTATTATACAATCACAGATATAGAATGCAATAAAAATAGGTACTTAATGTTATCACATTAAGAAACACTAATGTAAATGAAACTAAAAAGGGATGTAGGTTAAGTATTTCTTTGATAAAATTATAGTAATTAATAATTATAGAATGGTATAGTCAAATTCAAAAAGATTTATGTAAATTATGTTGAAAATCAGGTCTTTTTGTCCCAGTCAGAGTTGTCTTAAGGGCAAGCTTATTATTCACAAATAATAATGGAGAATACTACACTTACCAGTTCCGACGGGAATCACTTTTAATATCTCTTTCAATGACAAAAGTTGGGACGGCATTTTGATAAAGACGAGATCTTACATTGCCTGCTGCATAACTTTTCTTCTCAATGTTTTGCATACACGAAGCACTTCTCAAGTAGTTTGGAACTCAGGCCGCGTAAATATTCTAACTGGATACACTTCAACTACAAGTCCCATCTCTAATTTTAGTATTTGAAAAAACACAACAACGAAGACCCGTTTGGATAGCGTAGGAGCTTGATCAACAGTCAGGGTATTTGATTTGGTTGTTGATTTTAGAAATATTTTACTAAGGCAGCATTCTAAGGCAGCATTCCTTTCATCTACTAGCACAACCCACAATACTGCACTTATTGTATATAACTTCGACTTTGCGAAAAATATTACAGTTAAAATATTGAGGATAAGCTACGGAAATAAATAAACTCAATGTTTAATGTTCTTTGATTTGTAGCTTATAGGCATGCCATTTGGGCACAATTTACGGGCTTAGTAGACTTTGATTTATTTTTTTATTTGTGCAAAGTACTTATTATCTTGAGTAATCCCACAAAGTTTCAAGTGGGGGAAACAAATACTTTCGGAGATAAAAAATATCTAGTTAGTTCTTTGCTTTAATGGCTTTAATGCGTGCCAGTTGAGCACAAATTATTTCGCCAATGTCACGTTGAATGGAGGAGTCACGTTCGAGAATGGCCGGCGGTATTTTGAGTTATTACACTAAGAGACTGGATTAACAGTATTAAATAGAAGGATTTAATAAATATCTAAGTTTGATAAATATAACATCGATCTTGCAATATTTTATTGTTTTTGACGTATGTTTTGACAGAAGTGTTGCTATTTTAGGGGTGTTTTAACTTTTAGTTTTGCAAGACAGAAGTGCTGCACCATTATAGAGTTTCAATTACGCGTTTTAATTTTGCAAATAATAAGTTGAATAATTAAAATTCTCAATATTTTATATGGTTTAACAATTTCACAGTTATTTCAGATTTTTGTGGGTCAATAACAATGAAAATTTTGATTTTATGTCAATCTAAAGTTATTTTCGCAAACGCTCTGGCAACCGTTTTGTGAACTGATGGTCAAATGAAGATTTTCTCTATTTAACCATTAAAAATAGCTTTATGGGATATATAAATTATATTATAATATAAAATATGCATAAGTTAAATATGCTTAAAAAGTATATTTTTTATAAATTATATGTGCTCATTGATTTATATAAAAATATTCGAAAGTATTTTAACTATTATCGAACAACTTAATCTTTTAATTATACCTTATATTAAACATAATATATCTGTACACTAAAGATCATAAATTATCAAAATCGATTTCTATTTTAGAACTGTAGCATGATATTTCCCTTAACTTGGGGACAGTTAAGGCATTATAGGGCAAGTTAATATACTGTCAGTTGTCTTGTCAGTTGTCACTTCTATTATTGTATTTCTTATCAGTCACCTCGTGTCTCTTTCTTAAATAACTTTGTCTGATCTTAATTTGTTAAGTAGGAATATATTGTATCAAAAACTTTTCTTCCTTGCCGCCAGATGTACATGTGTATGTCTCCGACTGAATAATACTATATTCCTTCGTCATCTTGTCTTTAATCTTCATCTTCCTAGTTAGCTTTTATGCAGTCGGGTTTTTTATTTTTATGATATATTTTTTTAAATACAGCTTTTTAGTTTTTGTCAATTAGACATTTGAAGTAAGTTGTTTATATTTTAAAAATGACATGCATAAATAAAACCAGAGACCGCAAATTGTAACATGTAGTCACCAAAGAGATAGCTGCGATAAAACTACGTTGCTGTTACTCTGGTTTACGGAGGGTAGAAGTAACCCTCCATACTCTGGTTGTCAAAAGGGATAGATTCACCAAAAGCTAGTATCTGACTCGGTCAGACCTGGTCAGGGTTACATCTTCAAATGATATTTAACCTTTACTTTGATACCTGTTAATTACAAATAAAAAGAATTGATAAAGTTAGGTACTTACATTTAAATCATGCTATTAAAAACCGCTTGTATAGAATGCTGACTTGTACTTTTAATAACAGATGTACCTGTACCTTAACAGAAAAAATATATTGATAAATATTACTTTATGTTTATGCAACCAAAAAATATTTCATTTATTTTACCGTTACGATAAGGTTGCATTTTTATTATTTAAGGTTTTTTAGAATAGAAGTACTTCCTATCATTTATTAAAAGGTCAATAATGTCGTACATTACAGGCAACATTGCCAAGGTGTATAGAGGGGAGATATTTATTGATTTCTTTCACTTAATTTATAGTTGTGTCGGTGTAAACTTATTTAGTTTTATACGTATTAAAATATTTTTCGTGGGCTTAATAATACGTTTAATTTCGTCAACCTGAACTACTACTTCAATGCCGCTTCGATCTACGTTCAATAACCCAGCAGCCATTGTAAGTATAATTAATATAACCTTTATTTAATTTAATGTACGTTATTTTTAGGATTTTTTAATACGAGCTCAAATAATTCTAATTAATTTACATTTTAATAAACATAATATTTGGTTGTTGAAAAATTTTTTCAAACGCTAATCGCTACCTATTTTTTAGTCTGTGGAGAATAGGTATTCAATTATATCAATTTAATTCTTTGTTAGACTTTTATTTGTTATCCATCTCGTAGACGGAGAAAACTAGAAAAGTAACAAAGGAAATTAACAATTCTAAAGAGGAAGAACTGATGTGTGCCTACTTCTAAATTACCTGCGTTGTAACATATACAACGTAGGTAATTTATATATAGGGACTCTACTACTATGTGCTTTAATTTAGTAGATATATTTATATTATACTAGCATTGCCCGCGGCTCCGCCCGCGTTCAGATGACCAAAAACTAAATTCTTAGGTGTTACATATTAGTATACTCTTACATTGCAGTTTTTGTATTTTTCCTCAGAAATAAGATATTTTCCCGCGGTAAAAAGTATCCTAGGATCGCGCGCTACATCGCCCGGTTTATATAGCTTGAGCAGGCGGTCGAGCGATGCGGGGCAGAGGGGATGGACTCGCCGTAGGCATCTCAATGCTCGCCAAGCATTAAAAATGTTTCGCTACTAATTACTTCTAACAACGATATCTCAAAAACTATTCATCTGATTGATTTAGTGTAAAGAGCAATTTTAATCTGCATTAAATGACTAAGCTAACTAAAATATTCATTTGGATAAGGATTAATACCGAACTAAAGAAAATAACTTTGAAAATAACGTAATGTTTTTAATTAAAAATGTTAACATAAAAGTGGTTATTGTAAGTCAACCGTAAGAGATAGAGATATGCTATCGCGGACTTTTTTGTAGCATTTTTATAGATTTTGAATTCTCTAGTACATTACTTAACTGTATCTTTGCTAGTTTACGCGGCGTTCGCGTGGAAAGTTCCCATTTGGCGAGATTTTTTGCGACCTCTTCAACATTTGTCGCCGTATTTCAGCTAATTTACATAAAAGCATAATAAATTATATACCTAAACCTTCCTCAAGAATTACTCTTTCTATTGTTGAAAACCGTATAAAAATCCGTTCAGTAGTTTTCGAGTTTATCGCGTACAGACAGACAGGAGGACAGACAGGAGGACAGAAAGACGCGGCCGGGGGACTTATTTTTATAATAAGTATAGATAGACTGTGTAAATTGTTTAATTTAAGTAAACCGGAAATTTTAATATTCAATTAAAAAGAGACAGCTAGAATATAATTCTAATAATTAATATAATCTGTGGTATATACAAAACCACAGACGAGGAATACAAAACAGTTGGCGGCACTGATTGCAACCTGCGCTGTATTGATTTTTCTGTTGTCTTGTATATTTTATTCATATTAGGTCCTTTGCCGTTTATTACCGTTTATTAGTATTACCGTTTTTGTTATTCATATATATTATTAGGCTGCAGTTTAGTATATGGGACGCGGCCCATGGATATATAAAATATATAAAAATTATTTTGAGGAAACAAAAGGGTCAAAAGTTATTGAGACTTAAAGTTACAACATTTTCATACATTATTTAGACATTACTGCCATTTAGACACTTGGAAATATCAAAATGTCACTTTCAATTGTCAAAATGATCTACAGATGATGAGTCAGATCTATTACCGAATTTTAAATGAACATAAAGCACTTATAATAGCAAGGGTTCTGGGTTTGAAATAAAAATAGGAAATGCATAGGTTTTTTTTATGATTTTTTAAAAATCTTATTTTCTTATTATGTTTTGTCGTGTTTTTAATTATACTTTGCGTGAAATTCGAATTTTCTAGTTTTCTAGTCATATAATAACCCCTTAATGGCACTCGCCGGCTGCTGCCGCGGCACGCTCGCTTCGCTCGCTTGGCTCGTGCGTTGTGGTAACAGTTCTAACATAACCTAACCAAGATATGAAGAATAATAAATAAAATGTCTTACACTAACCACGATGTCGCAAAATAAAAACCAAAAGTAAATAATACACTTAGATTTTAAAAATAGTTTACTCACGTTTATAAATTGTATTAATATAATCTGTTGTCATTTAGGCGGTAATGTAAAACAGAAATTGACAGTTGTCAAAATGTAAGATCATTTTGTTTACAATAGGTACTGTTGTGAAATTATTAAAAAATTAAATACAATAAAGCCTTAATTGTGGTGGAAATATGTATTGTACATAAAAAAGGATGTTTACTATGCGTTAAAGATATGTTTATCTTTTGTGATCACATAGTTAGGTAAAGAAATGTATGGAAATGTTGTAATTTTAAGTCTCAATAACTTTTTATTCCTACGTTTCCTTAAAATATTTTATATATATTTGGGCTCCCTGTCACCTGCCCTATCCAAAAATACCACCTACTCCGCCAGGGCCCGCGTCCTATATACTAAACTTGTGCTTATTATTTTTAAGTGTGATTTATATTATACTGTGTAAATTGCTTAATTTAAATGAGGCGGAAATTTTATTATTCAATTTAAAAAAGGACAATATTATTCCAACAATTAATATAATCTATGTGGTATACACAAAACCACAGACCAGGACAGGAATACAAAACAGAAAACCATAGAGTATATTGCTACATATATAAACAGAAAACAGTTGGCAGTACTGATTGCAACCTGCGCTGTATTGATTTTTCTGTTGTGTATAATTTATTTATAATTTATTAGTCCTTTTCCATTTTGCTTTCAGTAGTATTACTCTTTTTGTTATTCATATATATTATTTTGTATATTATTTGAAATTGTGAATTTTGGTTATATATTTTTACTTTTATTTACTCAAACTTTAATATTCTGCCCAAATCACCAAGATCATCGTGCTATCCAGATATGAACAATTCCGCGGCTAAAGTAAGTCAATTCAGTTATATTAGACTAAAATCTTAAATCCTAGTTAAGTATTAATATTGCCGATAAAATATTTTTAAAACGTTACGTAGGAGAGAATTATAGTGCCTCATAAAATAATTTTGTTGTTTTTGTTTTTTTGTTTAGCGCTTTTTGTGTGCGTAACAAAATGTACTATTACAAATATCTGGATATTCTATTTGAAAACAATTGATCTAAACTATGGGTTTATTTTAAAGTCCTAGACATATCTCAAGAACAAAACAATTTCTACCTATGCAGTATCTCTACCATCGATCTGTCCGCCGAAGCTGCTCAGCTTTGCATTTGGCCCCATCTTTTATATTTGACCATTATCGTGGCTAAATTCTTGCTTCGAAGTATCCCAGCATGAATAAAACAAAGATTACTAACAAAATATTAAAAGCCGGAAAAGATAAAATCTTGAAACACAATATTGGTAGGTATTTAATAGATCACTGGTGTTTTATGATAGTTTTTTTATTTTAACTAAAGTACACTATCATATCTCATTATGTTTCATCTAAGTTGATGTTACTCATGTTCTAAGGATGAAACTATTGATTGCAAGAACTTAAGGATGACACTTAATTTTTTTTAAACGTTTATCTGAGCCAGTAGTCAAAGCAAACAAAAATGCAAAAAAAATGTCATTATTTTATGAATCAATAGGATCTACGGTAGGGATATAATCACTAGAACAATCAACAAACATTGTATTTTAAAATCGCACAAAACTATGAAATTTTACAATTTGTTTATTTATATATTACAATATACTTTTTTTTTTTTTTTTTAACGTTGGGAAATGCATTTACGCACGACGTGTGGGACTCACCGGCAAAGCCAGTACTACCCACTAAAACCCAACAAAACCTTCCCCCGTCTTAATGGGGCGTCGCAGGATCGCTTACGCATTCAACTACGACGCCCCGACGGCAGGTCTGCCGAAGCAGACCACAACAACCACGGGGTTGCTCCACAGTCCACTCTGCTATCAGAGAAGTACCAGGAGCAACCCGCATGGTACACTGCCCTCCGAAGAGGGCCACCTCCTACCGCCCACCGAAGTGGGCCACCTCCCTGTGCGTTTCTTGGCTTCGCGCCCGGTTGGGTTGCCGGGCACTACTGAGCCCCCCCACCACGACAAGGTGAACGCACGTTGGGGGGGATATATTACAATATACTGAATCTAGGCAACATCTTACAATGAAACTAGGTAGTTCACCTTTGCTATTGAAAAATAAAACTGTAAACTGATGCTTATATGATGTAAATACAAATCATTTAGTAAAGTTAAGCTTGATATAGTAGATTCATAAGAATTGTTTGAATTGAAAATAAGTTAATATTAACTTTATTGACTTCAATTTACACAAGTACTTTGAATCATCAATATAATTTAAAGATAGTCTGTACTTGGTCTATAAGATAGCTACCACTGGCACTGCTAAGAAGAACCAGCTAAAGATTCATCAGCAGCTCTTTTTGAAGATGAGTTACAGTATTTAATACAACATTATAGCTATTTATGATAATAGCACAACTTTCCATCAAAAAAGACTTGTGCACAGAGTAATATTCTTTACTTGGTAATATATATCAGTTCTATAAGTACACCAATTTTATCTATTACATACTACAAAAACACATTTTAATATTATGATTTTATTCTTAGGTTGGTGAAATATTCAGGGAGGCTGGAACTGCCTTCAATAAACTGTCAGAGATGACAATGTTATTGCATCCTATGGGGGATACACAACCTGGGTATGTAAATACTTGTTGAAAATCTAAATGATGGCAATTTATATTTGAAATTCAGAAGTTTTTTAGTAATAATTTACAATATCATTGGTATGATCAGTTATTACTATCCTAAATTATGTTAAAGAAAAGTTAACACACTTTTATTTATTGTGAAATATTCATTTTAAATTTTATATGCATATTTTAAGTGGCAAATGGACTGATGAAGAAATTGAAATGCTTCGAAGCTGTGTTCATCGGTTTGCTGTTGATTTGAATAAGCTAAGTCAGCACATTAAAAGTAGGACTGTGTAAGTATACTTTGGCCAATATTCTCACATAACTGAAATTTTGTTGTTTTTTAGTTATTTTTATTTTTGTGTTTACTCTTTATATGGCCCCTATGCCAATCTCAACTTAAGTTCTGTGCTAATCTTTTGTGAGTCTTGTTTTTGCTGATTTGTTTTAAGCACAAACTTCATGAATTATTCTTTTATTATAAATAATATAACAACAATTTATTTTAGTTCAAAATATTTTATTTGTATCAGCAGAGAAATTTAAAGAATTGCTAATCCGATACATAGTTGACATGTAAAGACATATTTTGTTGACAGTTCTCAAATCCGCACAACACTGAAGAAAAAAGCGTTTGAAGACGCAGGTATACCAGTGAGGCAGGTAAGCAGTACGATCACAAGCCACCCGCAACAGGCACCACAGGTATCCCTGATGACCCAATCCACGGGTTTAGGAAAAAACGCAGAGGTTCAAACCTTCACTAACTAACGCAAAATTCACATATATAGTTGTTGTGCTGTCTTTTTTTTTTATTTTCAGTTAGTGAAGTTTGAATTTATTTTTCCAATTTTGCCTCGCACTTGGTTATGTTTGGTAGGATTTGCTTTGATTGGGAAGGGTGGTTTGATTTATTAGTATAATAATTGTTATTATTTCACTAGTCGCAATGAGACTAAATGTTGAAATTATCTGTTCTAAATGCTTAACAACATACATTAGTACAAAATAGAGATAAAACCTTTTTTTTTCCAATAAAATACCCTATGTACACAATTACTGCATAATATTTCAGAATTAAACTAAAAGTTGATGTTCAAATTTTATTGTTTTAAATTAGTATATTTATATGATAGACTTCTTAGTAAATTGAGAGAAATAACATTTTAAAGTGCGGGGCAAAGTACTTTATTTTCTCCTTTGTGCTTTTTGCCATGCTGAGCACGTTTTCTTAGCCTGTGCATTTTGTTAAACGTAGATAATGTGCCACAATATTATCTCAAATAGTATAATATTAAAAACTGAAAATTAATTATAAAAATCTAAAATATTATATTTAAAAAATATCAAATATTATAATAAAATACATACTTTATATTTTCTATTGTAGTGATGATATTCTGGCAGTTTTTTTATTATTATTTATTGCATGTCCTGAAAATGCCGCCATTATGATTTCTTTACAAAGATAGTAGGACATTTCCGTAAAGCATTATTATATAGACTACAGAGGGGCAATTGTGAATGGGTTTTCGTAAATAATTAACTTTCAATTACTTTAATTAATAGTCGAGTATTTTACTTTAGTGTAAGATATAATACAACTTTGATAACACTTAAAGAAATAGAGTACCAATTTTTTTTTGGTTATCAGTATAATTTAATAAATCATTATTATAATAACTTTTAACAATACTCATATTCATCTACATATCACGTTTGTATGATTTCTAACATTTATATTTATACACTAGCGACTCACCCTCGCTTCGCTCGGGTTCGTCCCTGCTTAACATTTTAAGGTTCAGTATAGATTTCTCAGAGATGAGATATTTTCCCGCAGCAGAAAATATGTTGTCCCGGATAACCAGCTATCATTATACTAAATTTCATTAAAATCCCTCTTGTGGTTTTTCTGTGATGTGGTCACAGACAGACAGGTCACAGAGAGACAAAAATTCTAAAAACTATAGTTTCGGCCTCTGTATCGATAACAATGTCTATGTTAATAAGATTTTTTCCAAAAAATATTGAATGTACCTACAGATTCGACTTAGAATTGTATTATATGTATAGATTTATTTTTAAATTTATGTCAATATACCGATATATTCTTAACTAGCTCTTAATTTCTATTAAGTACATGGATTTTAGGATGCCCTTTTGTCAAAGGGTTACCAAATTTTGAAATGCCCTCCTAGCTTTCGATTATCTATGGTGGGGCTCAGACAAGTTATCAACCTACAATCTTTTAAGAATAGAAAGTTAAAAAATATATGACAACATATTATGATCTTTAACACTTGTAGAATAACGTTTTATCTCAGTCTCCTGGATATACTTATGCAAAACCATCCATGACTCAATTACAAAAGTTATGCACACTGTAATAAATATCTAAGGTTATGTTATGCATCCTTTTTTCTTTCTTTCTAATAAGGCCGATATTGGTCTATCTACATCCAGTAATTAAATTATAAATTAAAAAAAAAATAGCTCTAGTCATATATAATACTAGCATTGCCCGCGGCTCCGCCCGCGTTCAGATGACCAAAAAACAAATTCTTAGGTTTTACATATTAGTACACCCTTACATTACAGTATTTGTATTTTTTCTCAGAAATGAGATATTTCCCCGCGGTTAAAAGTATCCTATATGTTGACCCGGATAACCAGCTATCACCATACCAAATTCGGTTTAGTTACAATTTTATTATATGTATAGATAAAGACAAATCTAGTAAACTATGGTTTCTAAAAAAATTGTATAATTTACAGTTTTTCATGCTTATACATAATACTACACATAGTAAACTGATCTGACTAGATGTTTTTTTTTTCAATTATTTAAACCCATTCACGTGCACCTAAGTAGATGTGTTTCCCTTTATAGCGTACATACACCGTAATCTTTGCTTATTTTGATTATTTTAAATAGTACGTATTAAATAAGATAAGCTCAGAATAACAAGGCACTGCACTAGTCTAAAGAAAAAAATATATAAACAAGTATTTTTTTTAAACATATATTGTCAACAAACTTTCCTCCGCAGGTGACACTAAACATGTTAAACGCGTCCGAAAACGAGGTGGACGTTGAGGGGTTGAGTGGGGACGTCAAGCTGGAGTTCGAAGGTAGCACAGACGAAGTGGCCACCTGAAACATGTTTAGCTTTTCGTACTTCTAAGCGGGCTACCATCCCCCCATTGCTTACTGATGCGAAAAGACATGAAGAAATCAAAATACGTTAAACAGAGAACAATCTCTTCAATATAGTTATTTCTTTGGAATTAATCAATTCGTTGAATCTCCATTTCTCTAATGAATGCTGTACCTAATTGTTAGTCATGCAGCTTGTGTTGCGAACGTTCTGAGCAATTGCTACGAATGAACTGCACTTCAGCGTAACGATTTCTTAGCATAGCGATTGCGATTTTTTCTATGCGTCTATTTGAAAATAATAGCTCTTAATATGATTTGGAATGATCCAATGCTATGCCTAAGGAAGATTTTCTTCCTAACTTTACGCGTCAGAGAACAGGGTTATTCGGCTTGTGATTGTTATATTCATTTGTCAGTCTCTTTAATCTAAACTGCCTTTCGGTAATTAAAAAAAATCTATTTTACAAATAACAAATTCCTTAAATAAACATCTAAATTTAACGACTTTACAAAATTGTTTATTATATCATAAATGTATGTATACAATCGCAATCCGAACTAATCTAGCAAAAGCCCGTGTACGAATAGTGAGAAGTACCGAAATGTTAAGCGTATATAATAATGTTGTATATAGTTTGATTTTATTTTAAGTTTTTGTGTCAATTATTGTGTTTGTGTCTTTAGTATAGTAGGATTATGATAAAGGTGGTCGCTGACTTATAATATTACGAATCATGACTGTGGAAAGTAGGTAGAGTTGACTCATGTTTGTGGTTCGGTCAGATGCCACCTTTATATTGAAAGTAATCGTTCATAGCAACGAACAATTTGACAGCTCTTTGCACCCGTTTAAACTAATCAAATTGTAGGTGGAATTTTGATAATCTTTAATTCAATTTAAAATTTGTACATTGAATTTTAAACTTTTTCTGCCATCGATATTCCACTAATTTGGTTACTAATATTAATATCATTTATGGTATCTAGTAATATTTTCTTTTGAAGAATCTGTTACTAATTGAATTTACATCGAGAATCGGCCTCTCGATCCCTGACCACTGATAAAGTAAAAACTTGCATCACCGTCCCGTGATGGCGCGTCGCGTCTTATTTTATATTATGAGTGTAATTAATTGATTTCTGATCAGTTTTTTAATATCGAAGTACGAAAGCCTTTAAAAAACTTTTATAAAATTTAATCTAAAAATAAGTTCTAAGTAGTAGCAGTTTTCAAAAAATCGCATAATTCCGCCTTAATTGGAATATACCTACTATATCTCAGTTCCCATAACTTTCTTTCATTCCAAATTAATTAACAAAGATTCGTATTAGAAATTACTATGAAAATTATGTATCACTTCGTGCTCTTTCTACTTCTTTTTATATATTATACAATTTATTTTCATTTTATATACTGCAATTATTAAGGGAATTGAGCTTCGTATTTATAATCTGTAAAATGCTTTGGATGTTGTAGAAGTAAAAAATATATTATCGTCTAATGGTCTCGCGCGTCACACCAAGATAAGCGAAGTTACATATATATAGTTTCATTCATAAAATGGCCAAATTAAATAGTCACAACTAATTTCAAACTCGAGTTTCGTTTCAATTGATTTAGTGCATATAAAACTTACATTAGCTGCAATGTAAGTCTCCAGTTATAATTAGCGCGAGAATAACAATAATGTAGACACTTGCCAATAAGTCTTTGAGAAACAATACAAATAAAAAATGGATTCAAAACAAACACAACAATAAAACCAGAAAGTAAACGTTTTAAGTCACTACGTCCAATATTTGACGAGAAAATTTTTTGAGAGCCCAAGACGAGAGATACGAGAGGGCCTGGAAATTTTTATCAGTCAGGTGTCTTCGTAGGGCCCAATCCAGCTCTGCTTCGTAATAATTGTTAATATCAAATCGTACGCGATCCGTGCAATGAAAACATAAATTGATAAGATTAAAATAGATATACCTAATACAATAATTGAGCAAATAAAATATTGCAACAATAAAATCAGAAAAGCAAATGTTATAAGACACGAAGATTTAAATGTCTTCGCTCTGATTCGTCCCTAGGTACGTTTGGACGTTTAGTATGGAATAGTTTTTTTTTTTCAATTTTTTTTATCGTGATTTTTTCCGATGTTTTAATTTAGTTATTCTGCTATTCGTGGTGAAGACAAATTCAACAAAACAAAGGCCAGAAAAATCGATTCCGCAGTTCTCGAGATATAAGTGTTGTAACAAACCTGACTTTCTTTTATATATATATATATATATATATATATATATATATAGAAATACACGCACCATATAAAAATAATTTATATTGCTTATTCATGTTCAGAAAAATAAGTTTGATTTATATCATTTGATGATTACTAGCAGTTTAAATATCTTATTAAAGTAGGTATAGAATAGTGTCCTTAAATATACGTATAATCTACTTCTGATCCTCAATTAACTAAGAGTACCTGGGCGACCGAGCTTTGCTCGGAGTTTTTGGCCAAAAAAAACATTAAAAAAAACAAAGAATTTGAATAAATACAAAAAAAACAAATTTAAAACTTTGTGTCCGACCGGGATACGAACCCAGATACCTGTGGTTGTCAAACTTGCGCATTGGCCGCTTGACCATGATGCTTATATCTGCGAAATTATCGAACATAATATTTTGCGTGAAATTATTAATTATTAATTTATTGAAATAATGCAAAGAAATCATAATAATAATAAAGCTCTACTTATTTATTCATTTATTTATTATAAAGGCTTACCAACTAAATTTACATAAAAACATTTATTTAACATTATAATTTTACCTATTTGAATTGCAAAATTTAATTTAAAAGTATGCACAGCTTTTTATAAAAGTATTCCATTAAAATTTTATGTGGTTACGAGTATATAAGGAGCCATTTTAGTTGTACAATAAAAAAAATTGCTGAAATATAAAATTATATAATTTAGTGGCTATTTATTAACTTATAATTTTTTAATTAATAATTTTGTAATCTGGAATTAAATTATTTTAAAAATCTTTAATATTATTTGAAATTATATTGTATATATATAAATTATCATTAACAAACAAATAAATAAACAATGACAATAAATTAAATAATTCAATTGAGTAAATACTAAACATTTCATAATAATAAAAAAAAAAAAATTTCTTTCCATACATTAATTCTGACAATAGTTATAAATTAGGTATTTAATTTCATAATTGAATGTATTTATTTAGTAAATGTCTTTTTCATGTATAGACCCCTCTCGGTTAAAAGCCTCCTCCAAAGTAGTCCTGCATAGAGCTCTCCGTTGGAGATTATGCTTGTATGATTGCAAAGGGTTTCTCTCTCTCAAATTTTGTTTTCAATACATAATTTGTTTCTGATATGCCTATAAAGTGTATAATTTTATCTTTGTGTTCTTTTGATTTGTTGTAGGAAATGCTGCTTTTAATTCTAGAAGTTTTTCTGGTGAAGATATGTATACCTTTGTTCATTGTATGTCTGTTTTTCTTTAGAGGGTTACGTTCGAACTCCCCCACAGTGACTGGCCGTACTGGTGGATAAAGATGAGGAGATTCCTACGGTGTTTATTATACTATATCTTGCTGTGTTGTTTTTAGTTGTTCCTGGTTATCATTTGTGTGGTTGAAAGTTAATTTTGGGTTTTGTAATATAAAGTCTTTAATATTACCAGGTATGGTTTTCTTTGTATGTTGTTTATTTGTTAGTTTTTGTTTATAATTGAGGTAAGGCGTTTCTGAAGATACAGGCAGACTTCTTTTTTATTTCCGTTTAGTTTAAGACTATTTTTTCCTCTAGTTCATGATAGGATTTTTCACCTTCTCCTCTGAACATAACCAAGTTCTTGCGCCTAATATGTCTTTCTTAATTATTTATTGAGGTACTTTGTTCCTGGATTTTTTTCTCAAGAACTTCAATTTTTATTTCTAACTGTTTAAATTTCTCATTAAAGTATATTATTGTTGATTGTATTTTTAATGTCTTCTTTCATTTCTAACATTTCTAGCATTTCTGTTTTCTGCTGTCTTATTTATTGTTGCATGTTTATTAGCAACTTTTTTTGTTCTCCATCTTAAGTGTGAAGTTGGAAGTAGAAAAGCTGATTGAAAAAGAGAACCAATTATACCTAGTTGAATTGCAATTTTATACCGAGTACCTATTAGTTTTTGAGGTTATAAACTTATGTTTTAATATTTGACGCTTTCACTTCACAAATTATTTTGTTTTATTGTCATCACACACAGAAAAGATGGTTTTGCACTGATAGTATCTTTAAGTTATGTTTGTCACTTTTGTATTTGTTTGGTAGGTTAATTTTTAAAAGTCGATTTGTTCTTCATTCTGATTTGATCAAGACTTGGTGATGTTTACATATTGCCCATAAGTTTTATTTAAAAATTTACGAAGATTAGATTTAATTTTTCTTTAGATTATTTTCACTTAAATATATTTAAACTTGATGTAAATACGGACACGATGTTGACAGTTGCACAGTGGCGCCGCCCACTTACCAGAAGTGACAATGCAAAAATTGTGAAAATGCAAAAGAAAACCGCATGAAAATTCGAAAACACGCGTTTTTCCAGACATAAGACTAATCTAGATCGATTTATCGCCCCCGAAACCCTTTGTATACTAAATTTCATGAAAATCGTTGGAGCCGTTTTCGAGATTCAGATTATATATTGAGATATATATATATATATACAAGAATAGCTCGTTTAAATATATAAGATATACATCTAATATTTACTGGATCAATTACTATTAGTGTCCTCTACAATATAACATTGGTTACGATATAGGTTCCTATCGGGGGCACTTTCGCCATGGAAGTACGGCTAGACCCTTTATATCGTTAAGACGTAAAACTATAGAGTTGGTAAAAAGCGTGTTTCACATTTTTTTGTAAAGTAAAATTAATAACAATATAATTATAATAGCCGAAATTATT